AATGTGATATTTTATTAAACGTGCTTGGCTAAATAACTAGCTGTTCCAATTTAGTTCACAAGAGAATTGAAATTGTTAGTGTTTAGTTAGTAGTTTAGTAATTAGTTACCACATATTTATTTACACTGTAACCCAGTAATTATGATGCCAAATGAAAACCTTTTAAGCCGGTGTTACTTGAATAAGAAAATGCTTTTAAAAATCGTTTATTTTTCCCCATATCCGTCTTTGTTCCGAACGTGTTTGTTTTTCATTTTACATGTTTTACATTAAGCGACGAAAACTTGCGGCTATTTTTAGGAGGGTCTGCACTCACTCTCGATGTGAATACATCATGGCGTTTTGATAGTGAACGTTCCAGAAAAAATATAGTAAAAGCATGAATTCAACTGCAAAAGTTGAAAGGACTAAAGTTGGGAGAATCGCGACTACGGTGCTAGCGACGCGAAAATATACTTTAATCAAAAGATTTATACGGGCTAGTTGAGTACAAAAGTTGGATTTATCTTTTTTCTTTCAGTTCGACTTAATCTTACTCAGCGAAGTCATGACAGTCGACAGCGTAACTGGAACGAGTCTTATTCTTAAAATAAGAAGATTAATTAATAATGATGAGAGTTTCTGGTTTGCGGAGCGCCAGCTGTCGTGAATTTTGACATGGCATTTGATTTCAGTTTGAATGGGACTGAAAATGGAGGTTCGCAATTTTAAAATGTATTTGAGGCGTGACCTAAACAGTAGTGTTTTTATACCTACCAATATTTATTATTAAAATCCTCTATTTTGCTCACGTAATTATGGTATGGCTTTGTGAACTTAAAGTTTTTGAACAAAACCAAGATTAAATGTTTAACAGACTGCTTCCAGTGGTTAATTAACACCATTGAAGCTACATGAAGGTGGTATACGTGTTGGGTGTAATCAACCGTTGCGGATTACAATACATCGAGCATCACGCCTGCTAAGCCTACGCAGTTAAATCGAGTATTGATTGATGGACTCTAATTTCCTTCTGAATTAGACGCGCGTGAAATTTATAGCATCTGCCGTTTATATTTTTATAACAAGAAGATGGAGAACGGGAGCCATGTTTTATGTGTATTTATTATCATATTTAGAATTATTCTTTTAATATGCATGGCAAGCAAAAAAACCAGCCATCATGCATTGTAAGTTTCCATAACTAAGTCATATAGTTTTTAAAACCTATGCATTATTATATACCGATCCAGTTATAGTTTCCTATTCATTATTAGCAGATTTTTTGCTGTGAAAAAAAAAATACTTTTATAATGATATCTGTTTTAAATTCCTCTTTTATGCTTTCTAGTTTGAATTCGTGCTGCAGTTGGTTGAGTTTAGTTTCGCCATGTCTTATTAAAGTTTATAGTTTGTCCACTGAAGTCTGAAGTCTTGAAGTAGCTAACAGTAATAAGTTTCCGACTTCAAACTTTTATTTATTTTTATAACTACCTAGCTAGTTGCAGTCACGCCAAGAGATCAAGTTTATGTTTTATTTTATAGAGCACAATATCTATTGGGTTATGTTCAATCATTAGGAAGATGTAGTAACATGTTCAATATGTTACAATTTCTTTTCCTTGGAAATAAGACTGTATTTACTGTAATGATCAAATTATGTACGTAGAACTTTTGTTGTCAAGTATTTTTCCTAATAAGATTGAGGCGATCACCAAGCGACTGACACAGAATTAGAGTAAATAGCTTTAGAGTTTATCAGTGACACTATTCATTAACTCGGATTGAACCGATATGGCCATCCCAGTTCCACAGTTATTTGTAAGAACATTACCCTCCTTACAACTCTGACAATCTTTTAAATGTTTTTTTACAAGACCATCAAGATGTGGTAACGAAACACCTCGGCCATTCAATAATATCTTTCTCGGAAACCGAGCGAAAGATCCGTGAATGGCCTGACGCATCATCAGCGTACACGCAGTACCGGTGTTATGACGTCATCGACCCAGTTGTCTTAGGAGCCTGACCCGCATTCGGTTGAAATATTCGTAGTATTGTCGACCCGTACCCGCAATCGACATTGGACAGGTTTGGCATCGTTTTGCCTACAAATAAAGACATACATTGCGTCATTGATTGAACAAAATAGTTTAGTCCCTCGTCGTCGATTCCTAACGGTACTTTTACACCTTTTACGGTTAAATAGTTACCGAGTCAAGTGCCTCGTTTGTTGAATTAGTAGGATTTTACGAATGAGTGGTTCGTGGCTCAGTTTATGAGCTTATTTGAAACAGTTTCTTAGTAGAATGCCGTGAAGGATTAATAAATGTTTGTTGTCGCACGCAGTGTTGTATTACAGCGGTAAAATATGACGCGATGTAAGCGTGTAGTCAGCTGTTCACGTGACAAGGTGCAGAATTGAACCTATTAATTCCATAGCAAGCAGGTTCATATTAATTGAAGTTATTAATAACGATACACCTGATGCCTAGATCGGATGTGTTCTGTCGATGCGTGCATTTGTTTAAAGTGAATGAGTGCCGCTAATTTATTACCATTCATATTAGGTATAAGTATTAACTTGCGTTTTTTAGTGATTTTCCTGACATTCAAATTGTCGTATTTTAATTAACGTTTTTTTAATAAAGGCATAAAACAATCTAAATAGGTTTGTATATTGTTACAATAAAATGACGAATATTGTGTCTAATATTTCCTGTATAACAAACATGCATAACGAAACCACAGATAATAACAGTTCATTACCTACTGATCCACAGATTAAAGATAGGAGTTCCCTCGGAGCCTTGGAGGTCGGATACTAGTGCGATGACTCACATGATAATGACACACGAGATCTTGAGAGATTTACTCATTTTGAACTGGTTCCGTCCACACTGACTCACAAACTCACGCGCACATTTTTTTTCTTTCTCAATGCATTTTTTAATAACGCTCTTTTAAATAGCCCAAAGGGACGTTCGACCGTGAGTCAACTGTTAGGAATTTGATATTTTTGTGTTATTGGTGCAAGGGTGCACAAGTTGCACGACTGCGGGGGTCATGACCTTTTTTGACGGTTTTAAAGCTTACGTTTTTTTATGCGTCTGTTTGTCTATGGTTTTTAGCGCGGTATTAGTTTCGTATTTAAATCGATTTTTGTATTTTTCTTGCATCATAAACATAGGTACAACGTTAAGTAAAATGGACGTAGCTAACAAAATTGATTTCAATACTAAATATTTTGTATGATAACTATAGAATATCGACTTCACTTTTATTTAATTTCTACCAAAAACCTGGGACTACACAGGTTAATAATGGTTATTAATCTCGGTCAATTAAAGTAGACCAATTCATTTAATAAACTGACTATGAATTAGGTATTTGCGTACAATACCTTCAGTGTGATTTGCCAGCTTAATAATTAACATTCGCGTTAATTATGTACGGGATACTAAAGGGTAAATCCCATTCCCTACCTGAGTCAGAATTAGATTCGAACTCCAAATCAAGTTGATAATTGGTTTGTTTGTTCATTGCATTAGGTTAAAAGAGATATCTAATAAGTAGTACCTATTTACCTTTTTTATTCAATTTTTCGAATTATTATACTTGGAATCCTGCAGTTTAAATTTAGAATTTTAGCGATTTTTCTGAGTAGGTAGGTACCTATTATTAGAAGAAGGAGTTCCAACATGCGGTAGATAAGGTACCTACTCTATGCGCAATTTGAAAACAAGATAAAAAATCAGTGGGGTTTTAGGTCCCTAAATACCTACTGCAGTCCAGATTGACACCGTTATCTATTTAGGTCACAATCAGACCCTATCGACAAATTCCATAAGAATTACAATTAGCAACAAGAATATTTTTAGATTAATCTAGATTCTACGAAACGAACAAGCTTATTCAGTACGATTTTTAACATCGAAAATGAGAATTTATCGCTACAGTGATGTGGGTATTTCTGAATAATTAAACACTCGTAACAACAATTGTAACAATCGTTGTACCAATACGTAAATAAAAACAATCTGTTAGCTCTAAAGTAAACTGTACCCACAGCTTTCAACAATTAAAAAAGCTGAGCCCCACCAGCAATAAAATAATCGTGTGCGGAGCGCGAGCGACCAACCCTCGCAATAATATATTTTTCGCAATGGGGCGGTGTGCGCCCGACTGGGGAAAACAAGCTCTTCTACACCAACCAAACGACCAAATATTACAGTATAAGTTCATTTCACACGTAAAAAATATCACTTTCATTCATACATACCACATTTGTCGAAGATATGTCGCGATTATTTTATTGATCACATGTGTATGTACACAAACCATAAATAAAAATCAAATAATTTATCAAAAAACAATACAAAGTTAAGATTTACAGTTCTCTGTCAATATTTTGTAATTACAATAATATTAAAATTTATAAGTTTAAGCACTACAAAAATTAAAATTCTTTGCAGTTCAAAACAGTTTTTCAATTTCATAAAATTCTGAATCACATAACACAACACCACTCCCGTCCGGTTGCACTGTGAGACTGAATGACTGAATGAAATTAATGAATGAATAGAACGAATCAGATCTACTGAACATGTTCTGCTTGAATGAACTAAATATCCCAGATTTATCATTGGTCGTTCTACATGTGCGTGTGTTCAGTAATGAAGGTATCATTACTGAACACACGCACATCGCCATCTACCGGTGATACGTTGAATAGATATTACTGCCATCTATTAGAAAATTGTAGCATGTTGTATTTGCAGTTGTTGCAAACGGAGGATAGATAGCGCTATCTTCCAAATATAGTTTTTACTTCTGCATAAAAGTAGATTTTTTAATACAAAAAAATTGGATTTTTTTAGCAGAAAAATAAAAGTATTTGGAATAATATATAAAATAATAATATATCGAGAGGTTAAATAGCCAGAAGAAAGTTTCAAAACGAAAGGTCATTGCTCTTGTTTGAGGTTGCCTGTTTTGCAGCTAACTTCAGTTTATAAGACGCTGTCATTTACACACGTCAAAAATGGAGGAGGAACGTCTCTTCGATGAAAGAGTTTCAATTCGAGATTCAGCTCGCCCACTTAAAAAATATGGAAGTACTTGTAACCACATGAAAAGGAACGAAGAATATATCAAGCATGTGATGTCAAAAGGCGATACCCTGCAAGGGCTCGCGCTCAAATATGGTGTTACCGTAAGTGTACTAACATCGCAATAAAAGTGTTATTATCTTGTTTAACTCTAAGGGATTCGAACGGAAAGAGTGTTTAACGTGTCGTTTGGTTGTTATAGATGGAGAAAATTAGGCGGGCGAATCGTTTATTTGCAACGGACAGTTTGTTTTTACGGGAGTACTTATTGATTCCCGTCACCAAAGATTCTCCTTTCTACGAGAATGGTGAGCGTGTGACGGAGTTGCCTCCACCAAATCATCGTGCATCTATCGCGGGCATGCCCACTGGGGATTTCTCCCCAGGCAGTCCAGACGAGAAGAAAAGCTTTGACGAGTTCCTCAATAGACTGGACTCCTCACTGGCTGATATTAAGAAGCATGTTGAGAAAACCAAGGAAACTAGCGAGTGAGTAAAATACATTCTTTTCTAATACGATGTTTCTCTAAATTAATAGTCGAGTATACCTACCAGCAAGTAATTATTATATTAGTCTAATAGAACTCTATTTAGAAAAAAAAATATTGATAATAAAATCCGTTAGGTAATATATAAAATCTGAAAAAGAAGTTAGTATGAAAATTCCATAAACCAAATTGTTGATTACTAGCAGCAATGAGTCTGACAAAATAGTTTCAATTACAATTTACATAATTATAAAAAAAAAAATACTCTGCACATGAATGTTATAAATGTGATAAAATAATCATTAGTAAATAATGTAGGTGTCAACTCTTATGATAAAATGTTTGTGTAACATTTGATAACTGCATGCTTATTTGATGTTTTGGGGTGGTACCGAGTGCCTCGTGTTATCTATGCATACTGTCTATTGGAATATAGGGTATTTCTATGTGTGTGTAACACATGTAGGCAGGAATAACACGACTGATAAATGAAATCCTTCTAGTTGAAATGAAAACAAACAAACAGTCAACAGAGATAAATTTTAGGTCAACAGAAATGAATTTAATGTTCGTCTTCCATTCTGTTATTGTATAATTTGCAGACAAGTGCCATTTTAAATCATACATTAACTAATGGTATATTGGTAGATAATATGTTTGTCTAAATTGTCTAAAATTACTGAAACATTATAGTCAATTATTTTATTTTGATATGGCAGGTCACCTTATCTAAACTAGATCAATGTCAATGTTAAGTGGTTCATAATTAAACAAGACATTTCGAATTAACTGATCATTTACAGATCCATGAACAAATGATCATGGCGGGTATTTTATTTTATCATCTTGATGGTGTGAATAATATCATCATTGTCTCTGTCTAGTAAGAAATGATTAAAAAAAAAAAATTGCCCCACACTAGGATTATCGCCTGTGTCTTGGGTGTGTTTACAAACATACAAGTTCACATACACAGGACACCCAGATCAGAAACAACAATTTGCGGATCACACAGTGTGGTTCCGTGCGGGCATCGAACCCGCGACACGTTGCATTGCAGCCGGTTGCCTAGCAACCGCACCAACCGTGCAGTCAAATTGAACGAAATGATTGATATGGTTGCCAGGGTTTTAGGGATTGTCTGAAAAGGTACTGGTGTTACTTCTCTGTCATTTGAATCTTCTTTGTGCCTTTATTTTTACAACAGCTTATCATGTTAATATGTTGATTTATCATACCGAGTATTTGGTCATACTAAAGTAGGCTCTAAACATCGGAAATAGGGTTTATAATGGAGTTAGTGGAGAGCAATAATCAGTGACCGCTTGGGTATTGAATTAATATAATTAACCAATTAAAAATGGTTAAAACTGATTTAATGAAATTAAAAACATCCTCTCTTTCCTAAAGGAAAATGTTTTATTATTGAACAAGGCAATTATAAGGTAAATAAATCCCATGTTTATATTTCAGTAGTAATAAAAAAGTTAAACTTATATTTTCCTGATACCATAAATTAGTTTCTGTAAATAAGTAGTTCTGATTACATGAATATTTTTTTTACATAACATAACATCACACATTTTATCCCCGAAGGTATAGGCAGAGGTGCACATTATCTATGGCATTTTTAATACCACTGTACAATGTAACACTCACTTTTCACTATTTATATTATGAGTCCCATGTAATAGGGGGTGACAATTTTTCTTTTTAATTATATATAAGAGATTTTTACACTCGGACTTGCCTGTGGGAATTAAACCTATGTCCTACATATGCCCAACTACATTTGGAAGCAAAGAAACAGAGCCTCTATATATTTTTTCATTTTATAGAACTTTCTATAACTTTAAAAACCAAATATTCGTTTTACAACAAAATGCTTTCATTTTAAACGTAACTAATTTGCTTTTAACTTGACATATGTTACCAATTAACTTATATCAGAACATATTTATCTAGAACTGTAAAAGAAAAAACTATAGTGGCTTCGTTTCTTTGCTCCCTACTGTAGTTTTATGTGTCGCGGAGAACCTAACGGGTAACCGGGGCTCCGGCTCGACGTGCAGGAGAAGGAACGGGGTGGTTTTTTGTCAACAAGAGTCTGACACTCCCTCCCACCCAGGCGGGAACAGTAATTCGATGACTTTTCAAGAATATTGATTTTGTATTAAAAACACAATAATTAAAAGGAAATAAACAAAGTTATTTTCATATTAAAACTATTAGTAACCTGGGATTTTATACCAATCAGTTTTTATTTACCGTACTTATTGTATGGTACTTTATAATTTTCCTTTTAATATAAGCGGTGAGTAGAAATTGGTTTTAATACATTATTGATCTAACAACGCCCTAGCTAGGCAACTTACACCCATTGATTTTATGTTTACCTAGTACTGCTTTCTTACTGTTGTAGATTAACATAATATAACACCACGCCTTTTATCCCCGAAGGGGTAGACAGAGGTGCACATTACGGCACTTAATTCCACTGTACAATGTAACGCCCACTTTTCAATATTTATGGTACGAGTCCCATGTAATAGGGGGTGAGTCTATTGCCATATACCGGGCACAATTCCACCACCACCGGCACCACAGGCAGTAGTCACTCGGCTCGGCCAATGTTGTAGATTACGTTTATAGGAATCCTACAATATTGTGACATTTCTAGGAATATGACAGTAAAAATGGTAATAACTGGTATTCTTTAGTAGTCTTTAGCTCGCGGCTCCGTTTGGGTGGGTTGTATTCCTTTTTCCGTGAGACTATAAGAGTTAAATATAATCACATAATGTAGTTGATATTAAAAATATTAAAATTGGCCAATTATAATAATATCTTGATCTTGATTATTGAGGGCGTTACTGTTTATAATAGGTTTGGTGTAATAACATTTTTAGGTTACCTTATTTTTTGTCGCTGTGTGTACGTCTTAGACTCTCAGAGAATTTTGAACGCCTTAATTATTATAGGATTTTTCTATTGTTGTGTAACAATTAATGGAATTTCAGTTTCATTTGGTCATTCCTTAAAATTTTGGAACTTGTGTTGAATGTTTCGATGACTTTATACACTTATATTTATGTCGGTAATTCATAAATAGTAAAGAAACTCTATTCTTTATTGATATATGTAATATATAATCATGCCAAAAAATAAAATAACTACCCGGAATATATTTTTATCTGTTTATTACGCATTTTGCGGTTGTTTTTTAATCGTGTCAATTGAATAATTTCATTTTGTGCTAAACAGTTCATTAACTATTAACTCGTCGAGTACCGGTTTTGTAGACACAATTATAGAACAATAGGTTGCGGTCACCGGTGACCGCTTGGTATTTGACAGTTTAATAACGTTACCGTGGTAACTCATTAGCTAATTACTAATTAGGTATCTGTAATTAGAACTCTTATCAATCGATACAGTAACCATTTGAGTTGTGTCATAGGTTGTTGTTTTGTGTCATAAGTTGTTGTGTTAGATCATGTCATGGGTTGTTGGAGAGCTGTATTATCCCTAGAGCAAACTTGGCAAGTGTATAGGGCGCCAGGTTACAGAAGGGCGCCAGGTTACAGAAGGGCGCTGCGACATCGCAAGACGTGCGAGCCCATAGAGTGAAGATGGCGCCAAAAGAAGTTAGGGACGCCGATGAGGTGCTTGCCAAGGGCGCTCACTAGGTTTAAACTGTCAAACACCGTGAGGACACCGGTGACCGTAACCTATTGTTCTTTAATTGTGTCTATAATGACGGTACTCAAAGAGTTAATCCGCCTCTGGGTTGTTGTTTTGTGTCATAAGTTGTTGTGTTGTGTCATTGTCACAAGTTGTTATTTACCCTCGCCGGTTTTTGCCTCACTCTTTGTCTTTGCCTTTCACTGCCTCGTTTAATGAGCCGTTACCTTTGATTGGTTTTCATTGTTTACTTGTTACTCTAATTAGTTTGGAGGGCGTGGTTCTGCATAGTGAATTCTAGGTAACTTAAATCATCATAACATTGTAGGTAAGGTCTTGTTAGTGATGCACATCTGTCTACCACTTTGAAGAATAACAGGTGTGGTGTTAACTATTGTTATTATTAACGTCTGTCATCCATTTCAGTTTGTTCCCTACACTGCTAATCTTAATTTAAATCGTATGCACTCTCACTAAATGTCAAATTAGCATGAAGATAAATACAAATGTTATAATATTGCATGTTTGTGTCTTCTCGAATGCAAATAATGTTTTGTAAACACTGTATTGTGAGAGGAAGTCTCTTATCAGCTGATAAGAATATTTGCATTGTTATCAAGCACGTAGGTAGTAGGTGGTTGAACCTAGAGATACTCTTTTACATACTTTTAGTTTCATACTACCTAATTTTAACATAATACATATTTTAGGGTCATTAATTTAGCTTAGGTTTAGTCAACCTTGCTGACAAAATTTTATACAAATTGTTGACCCACTTTTGCGTAACATTCGAACATACAAACCTTCATATTTGTAGTTATAATTATAACTAAAGTTGGGTATTTGATGATTGACTTGCTTGCAATACAAGCGTTGGTGTATTTAGTTTCAAAAAATCTTATTGGAACCTCTCCCTTTAGTCCCTCTAATTAGTCTTTCTATCATTCTGATGGCGACCGGAGTAATACTGGTCTTAAAGGCCATAAATCTCCCACACTCCCTAGGCTTTCATTCCCGAAAGCTAACCTTTTAACCTATAGGAAGGGTTCCCTCATAAAAATAAAATGTATTATAGGACATAGTAAAAAGCTACTAAATCTACTTAAAAACCAATCGTGAGGTTAATTAAAACTATTTTCAGTATACAATATTCCCTTTAAGTATTTTTCCCCGTGACCGTATCAAGGTCGCTGTTAAACACTTTCTATGCGCGAGCGCAGTCACATGACATCCACTTCCTTTCTTGTTTACGAACGCGGCTCATGAGTCAATGGACGATACTTTTTTACGTTATGAATGTGAATTTACATTATGTGT